ATGTTAACATATAAAGTTGTATTCAACTGGGAATTGAAAGGATAACTTTACAATGTATTAACATTTATAGTAATGATAATGTTGAGGTAAAAAAGCAGTTTAATGATTAAACAAATTTCTAATGAAATATTTTCTTCTTTTGATTCTGAACCGAAAATTGACTCATTTTGAGTTCGGAATCTGCAAAAGAAAATTTCTTTTTTTCCTTTTCATGTTGAATAAAATTTTCATCATTTAATTGTCAATGTCTTGGTCAGTGTTTGAGATTTGTGATTTACCTTTTTCGTGATTCATCTTTTTTTCAGGTTAGATTCAGTCTTTTCAAGGGTTCAGTTTAAATTGATGTTTTACCGATCATGTGATTCAAGATTCATGATGGAAACTCAGCTTGAGGTAACATTTGATTTACTGTAAAACACTTTTCTTCTTCTTCTTTTCATCTTGTTTACTCTCATCGTTTGATGCATACAAATGTGTACATCTTGATGAGAATCATCTTCATCAAAGAATTGTGAGAGAGAGAAGAAAATGAACTTTTTTTATATTATGTCAAATCTTTTAGCCCACCTTAAGGTTCATCTTATTTTTGCTTACCTTATTGACCAAGATGATCAAGATGAGACTTTGATTATTGTTAACATGACCAGTGAATCTTGTCCCAGTTTTACCTCCTCCCGGGTTGTGTAAACATCGTCAAAGGTGGAGGTTAATAAAATTGTTATTGCATGGTAAACTTGAATTTTGTTGATCATCATTTTCATCTTTTCTTCTTCTTCAATCTTCTCCCTCAATTTACATTATCTTTTTTTCCGGCAATCATCATCTTCATTGTGTATTGAACAGATTATCTTGAAGGGAAAAAATTTCCTTCTCTTTTTTTCTGCTGCTCTTCAGCCTTTTCTCATTTAATCCATTGTTACCGTCAATTTTCATTAATATTTTCAATTTGTATCATCACAGTTGTAGTTGGATATCTTGTAAATCTCATTAATATTTTGCCCTTTTCCTTTCTCATCTAAAACCATCAAATTTCACGGTTCAAAGTTTCCATCATAGTCGACCTTTTAGCTGGCTCTTTATTAGTCTAACATTTTTTAATAAGGCTTTAAAAACTTTACTCAAAGTTTAACAAGCTGGCCTTTCTCAGCCTAAACCTAATCTAACCCAACCTAACCTAACACATCATCGGTTTATGTTGAATTATTGTCGAAAGAAATGGATTGAACTTGAATCACATTGATCATGACTCAAGTTGATTATCTTGATCAACTTGGTAGTAATAGAGATAAACAAGATAGCACACTTTTACTGATTACTTAACCAATGATCTGTTGTTTGACCATAACATTTGACTGACTGAAAGTTAAGTCATTGGGTTATTTTGTATTAATATTGGACAACAAATCGACCAAGTTTAAAATCATTGAAAGAAACAGTTGATTAGCAATGAGTTTTTGACTAAAGTTGAATTCAGATTAAAATTTCACTTCAAGCTCTTTTCCTTTTCAGTTAATATGATTTGATACTTTTTGCAACTTGGCATTGCAATCATCTTTGAGCTAAATGTTACCTTTTGTTTCTCATCACCATCACTGTCTTTACCTTGTTATCCACTTTTTGCATCCTTACTTACCTTGCTTCATCTAGTGTTTCCCAAGTGAAGTGTTGGTCAAAAGTCGGCTTGAATCCAATAAGGAGAAAAAAATATCTAAGAACATGTAAACTGAAATGACCCAACACAATTGGAAAGTTGAAAAGTGAAGAGGGAATCAAAGGCCAAATAGATGATAGTGAAGATGAAGATGATAAAGAAAGAGAGTGGAAAAGAGAGAGAAAGACGAAGAAAGAATCATGAAGATAACGATAACAAGTTACGCGTTGAACCGGAAAAGATTGGCAATGGAACGGTGCCAAACTTAATGGTTCACCAATCACTCTAGATTAGAAAATGGAATAGCAAAGTTGATCATTTTCATTTTCATCATCATCTTCATTATCCTCCTCATCCTCCTCATCATTACCTTTTCCACCATCGATTGGTTCACAAGACGCACCCAAAAACACACATGTGTGTAGGTTTAACAAATGGTTAACAAGAGAAACTCATTTTTACCTTTTCTCCGAGTGTTGATCATTTTGTTAACCAATTTGATTACCTGCAGTTTAGCCAATTGTCCATAACTAAATAGATTCACTGATTGTCTCAGTTTTTTAATCAAATTCACATCCATCATTAAATGTTATAAGACCGTCTTCATATTAACTTTATTACCCTTTAATCAACTTGTTATTTACCTTTAATGTAACAACAAATAAAAATCAATGTAATGATTCGTTGATACAGTTAAACAATGTTAATTGTTTTGAATCAAGAGTAAATCAATTGAATGGCTTCTCATCGTTCAACTAACAATCCTTTTTGCTTCCAATTAATCCATTCTTATCATCAGATTTCATGATGAATGAACAAGTTGAGGAAGGATTGATTGCAATCTAATTGACTGTTGATTAATCATTAAACAATGCAAATTCATTTCATCGTTAATCGATCAACGATTTGATGAGAGAAAATGAATTTTAAAGTTTGCTACCAAAATGGTCAAAAGAAGATGAAATGATGAGAAAAACAAAAAACACTTGAAAAGGTCTAGTTAATTGTAACTCCAATACAAAGTTACTCAACCTAAACCTTGTAACCTGTTTTTTCACCTTTTTTCATCTTCTCTTCATCCCAATCTTCAAGGTCTACTATTAACATGTTTAAGTGCAGGTTTCATGTTAATCTTAACCCTCATCATGAGAGTTAATCAAGATTATTCTGGACTTTTTGTCCCTCTCAACTTGACCTTAATTTTGATGGAAAATTGTCAAACCTTTTTTTCCCTTTTTTGCACATCTTTTCCAACCTCATGAGTCCACTTTTTTTTGTCCATCAATTGTACCAATTTAATATTATTGCAACAATTTGATTAACTTTGCTGATCAACAATTGTTTCATTTCTCAAAGTTATTCACTGTTGAATGATAATAAAAAAGTAATAATATTACGTTAATGTTTCCATTTTGAAACACATCACGAGATAATGTTGATGATCATGAAAGCCTCTGTCCTTTTCATCTCATTGACAGTCAGATAAATGGTTGAATCCCCTGAAGGTGTAAGAAGTAAAAGTGAAACAAACTATTTCTCTCTTGACATCAAACGAATTTTTCAATCATCAAAGCAATCTTATTTACTCTTAAGCGATACAAGAAAACCCGCCTTGATGAAGATGATGAACCCAAAGGAAGAAGAAGAAGAATGAAAAAGGCAAAAAATATTGTCAAATAAAAAGACACTTGAAGATGATTTAAAAGTGAATCAAAGATGAAGCATGAAAATCACTTGTTTTCAGGTGAAAACAAAACGATAAGAAGAATGAAAAAATCTCAAAATCAGATTCACTTTTAAACGGCAACATCGATTGAACCTGATGAAGATGGAAAAGATGAAAAGATTGAAATGTCGACATTTGACTTTTCGCCTCATTCCCTTGTCCAGTCACTTTGATAGGAAAGAAAAAGAAATTAAGAAAAACTAGAAATTTGAAAGCGAAGAGCAAAATTATCATAAATTGAAAGATGATAATGATGATGATTCTCCCTGGTCTAATTATTGACCATTTTCAGATCACGATTTGAACCAGAACCGGCTATTTCCCTCAAGCTATTAGTCGTTTGCTTTCCTCATCAGATCAAGATGCAAGTCTCTCTTCAATTTTTCCTCTTCTTACCTCATCTTCATCTTCAATTCACTTTCCAGAAAAAAAAAGTAAACTGAATAATAGGAAAATCATTTTTGCTCATTTTCCCTCCTCTTCATCATCATCATTTTACTAGCTTCTTCAGAAGCCTGACAGTCTTCTCTTTCTTCCTCCCTTCATTTCTCTCTTCATCTTCTCTCTCTCTCTTCAAAGTTAACGACCATTCCTGCCGGGCTAAATAGCCTTGAGCTAAACCCTGACTACCTGTATCATTGAGGGTTGCTCAAATTATATCCAAACCGAATGAAAACCTGGAAGAATCTCTTCTTCATTTAAGACTGGTCTTTATCTTCTTCTTTTTTCCTCTTGATCATCTTTATCTTTCCTTGGCCATCATCTGCTTGTTGCACAAATCCATTGCCATCTTCAAGTCATTTATTTGCTTCCATCTCTGTTTTATCTTCTTCTTCTTCTTCTTCTTATTTTTTCTTCTTTTTACTTCAACTTTAACTTCATCTAAAGCATCATGTTCATCATCATTTGAACATCTTTTACATTTTACAATTCAAGTCACAATCAACTGGAAACTGTACATTTTGCCCTTTCCACTTTTGTCTGGTCAACCTTTTAATTTGTCACTTTACCATTAAAGCCATTCTCCAGCTTATTTGCACATTTAATTTATTATTCAATAGATTGTTATTTATTATCATGTAATTGTAATATTAATGAACATTTACTTTTCCACTTTTATCATTGATCATTATCATTTCTATTCAATTATATTGCCATTTTGTTGAATAATTTAATATCCTTTTTTTAACCTTTGATGAAAAATTGATTCCAATATGAAAAGGTTGACCAAACCATTTTGAATGCTGTTTGTGTTTCTTGATTGCTAGTTATTATTCAATTTTAACCTTTCTTTTTGTCAACTTTTCTCTTTTTTTCACCATTACATTATTATTTATCGCGATTTTCTGGGTTAAAATCTTGCTTTTCTTGCCCATTCTTTAATTATTCAATCAACTCTGCGATATTTTTGACTCAAATTGTGAAAGCTTATGGAACCGTTTAATTTAGATTGATTGTTTTTCCTCCTATTCCACTTTGTTTTTGTTTGTGTGTCAACAATTTAACTGATTGTAAACTGTAATTTTGCTGAAAATTTTAAAATATCATTAAGTTTGAAGGGGAAAAAGGGCATTTTAAATTGGGCGCTTTTTTCTTGTTGCCAACTGGTAACCAATTATTTATAATGGTCAAAAGGCTTGAATATGTACTTTAACTGTTTTTTGTTTCATGTTTTTGTTAAAGCTCAATTTAACTTTAACTGTTAACCCAACCAACCAATCCTCATCATAATCATTGGTATTGAATGTCTAGTTAACAGTGTTTTCACCATCATCATGATCATCATTTAGTGCTGTTTCTTCTCACCTCTTTACACCAATTTTCCCTCTTCTTTTGTCTTTCTTTGCCTTTCCTCTTTCGTCTTTCATCTTTCATCTTCTGCTTTACTTTTGGTTTTATGCTGATGAAAAATGACCAAAGAACCATAAATCTCGACTCAATGGGTTTTATATACCAATTTAACTATGGTTAACACCAAGAAAAAACAACATTTTAAACACACAAATGTTGGAAGTAAAGTGAAAAAAGATTTTGAATCTTTACCATCATCATTATCATCACAACACCAGTATCGTTGATCCATTCACTGGCATCTTCAACATGATATATTTACCGAACCCAGAGTTATACTCAAGATGATCATTCAAACAAGAAAATGTTCCCTGTTATCTCCTAATTCCCGATTTGAACACATTTTTACTCTCGCTTTTTGTTGTTCCTTTACTCACTCATTTTTGCTATTCAAGTATTGGTTTACTTGTAAGGTTGGAAAGAGGATGATGGCGAAAAGTTGGAGGATAAAGGAGGAGGAGGTGGTGGTGGTGATGGTGGTGTTGCTGCTGGAGAATGGAGAAAGCAGTGGAAAAAAATGAATGGAGGATGAAAATGTAGAGGAAAATAATGCTCCATAACATTGGTTTAGTAGCCCTTGAAATCCCAACTTGAAATCTGGATTGTTTGATTGATGGTATTGATTCTCGAGTGTATTCTCATTTTCTTCACCATCTTCTTTCCCTGTGCCTTAACAATCTTCTCTCTTCTGATGATAATTCCTCATGTAATCGGTAATCCTGTTGATGATGTTCATCTTTCCCTTTCTCCATTTTTTAGCTCTTCTGTTGCAGTTAACACTCATTTTACTTGATGTAACATATTTCAAAAAGTTTGGCTGCTTTTGGAGCAATACATTTAAACTGACAAAGTTAAGATGATTAACTTTAACATTAACCAAGAAGGATAACTGCAACAACATTACCATTAACCTTACCGATTTACCTTTCACTCTCTCTCTCTCAGCCTAAATTGTGATTTCCCGTTTTAATTATTAACTCTAATTATCCTCATGAAGTTGACTTATTTAATAGCATTTGCTGGTATTAATCCTTGAATCTTCCTCCTCTGTTAAATAATCAACTATCATCATTAAAATCATTTCATTTTCTCTCTCACATTCGCATCTGCATATAAGTTAAAGGGAAACTTGTTCCGAACCATTTTTACCTTTGAACCTCCTTCACCTCTTTCATTGTTAATGCCTCTAAATGGAGCTATTATCAGCTAATTAGCTTGATGAGAATAAGTTAAGTGATTTAACTTTACAACTTGAACAACAACAACAACATGAACAATTCCCTATCGCGCTCAAGTTGATTGATAAAAAGGTTTGATCACCATTTAGACACAATCCAGAGTGTTCACAATTGCTTAGAGTATGTCAATCAAAACAACACGCAACAATTAATTTGGATGATTAGTTTATAATAAAAGGGAAAAGGTGAAAATTTAGGTAAAAATTGAAAGAGTAAAATGAGCTATTTTTAAGGTTAATTTCTGTGTAAAAAAACCATTTGGTTCAACGGTTTTATTTTTACAGATTTAATTTGCGCTCCAAATTTAATTATCCTCTTGAGATGTAGAGGGAAACAATCAGATTGGTTGAGTTGCTTTTTAAGAGGGAAAAAGGTTTTACCATAGCAAATAGCTTCTTCACCTTATGACTTGTATTTGCTTTATACTTTTGTTTATGTCTCGAAATTTGTTTTATATTTTTAATACAGAAATTTAATTTGTCTCTTTTTTTACAATTAACAAATCGTCAAGATTGTAAATGTGTGTTTAAACAATGTTGCAAATGTCTGAATTATAAATTGGCTGGCAAGTTGGAAGCAAACAGCGATGATTTTTCCGTTTCTTTCATTTTAAATCATCTTTTACTTTGTCGACTCATTAATTGTCTTTTGCCTGTTGTGATGTTGATATTAAGTGTTCATCATGAAGCAAACAATTACTCGAGCCAAGTTCATCTTAACCATTCCTCTGTTCATCATCACCGGAGGCTGCTGCTTATCTCTCTTTTTACACCATAGTTGTGTCACCTTTTGAAAAATGGAAAAAAATTACATCAAAATGAAATGGTTCATAAGATGATTCGCTCCAAATAGTCCGCTATCATCATTACCTTATGCTGCTTCCATAATCTTCATGAGTCTTTTGTTTTCCTTAGCCTAAACTTTTCTATGGAAAATTATTCAATGTTAGACAAATTCAGGTTCATTTACCCAGAACCTTTGCTCATCAGATTTACAAGCAATTTCAATAATATCATCTTAAAGTTGATTTAACAAAGATCTTTTCATCTTCATTATCATTTATTGGTATTAATTTTCTGGACTCTTTTGGTTTGATTTTGAATACATTGTTGATTTTAATGAGGTTATTGGATGATTAAGAATGAAAATGTCAGTTGTAACCAAGGGTAATGGAAAGACATGCAAAAAGCAGATTATTTAGTTTGATTTCGGATTACAGTTGAACCTTTTTCTTCTGATGGTGTTTCATCATTGATCTATCATGGGAACAAATCTGATCTGTTACAGTAAAGAAGAAGGAAAGAAGAAAAATCAAACTAATCATGTTTTTAAATATACCTTGATCAGATATTTTCATGTACAGAAAGCTTTGATTGTCGACTAAAAGAACAAGGTAATTTAATGATCTTAATTGGTCTCATTTTCATCTCTCGTTGGTCAACCTCATCTGTATTCAAGTTAATCTTTCATTTCTTTTGCCGTAATTGAAAAAAGAGAACTCAAATTGATATTCAAAAGCAAAACAAAATGGAGATGAAGGTAAAAGCAAAAGAACGAAGCTAAACTTTGAAAGGACATCTTTTGCAAATTATCCCAAGTCAGACGATATTTAGCTTTAATCATGGCTAACCTGGTGATCTTTATCAGTAGAAAGTTTCCTCTTTTTACCTGTTATTTTGCTCTTTGATTTGATCATCTTGATTATCCTCGGGATATCCGGTTGGATTTAACTTTTGGCTAACACTGCGAGTCAGAAGGTAAACAAGAGACTGGAGAAATAAATGAAAGAACCTTTGATTGCAAATAATTCAACTGATACACTTAAAGTTGAAGGTTGCAAAGGGAAAAAGGTTGATGATGAAGAGCAGAAGAAAAAAAATGAAATTAATTCTGATTACTGGTTACCAATCATCAGCTATATTCTGTTGATTGCCATCAAAATGTATTCACCAGATTCTTTTAAATTACTTTTTCAATCAAACCCTCATTCATGGTGATTCAGTGATGATTATTGAAGGCGTGTCAAACCAGATCAACATCTAAATCAACATCATTATTTTTCATCTCTAGGATCATTTCACCATTTTTCCTCTACTGTTATTTTGTTTTACACTTTCATCTGAAAGTTACCAGATTGATTCATCTTGGCCATTATTTTTGTTCCATCATTTCTTTAAAAACTATCGATTCTCATTACTGACTTGGAATCTTATTCAATCTTTAAATGTGTTTACCCGCAGCTACAAACATCACCATGATCATCATCTTTTAATTTGTCATCAGTTTTTTTTCTTTTTCTGGTTAAATTTGGTGTATTGAAATGTAAAGTAAATGAGTGGTTACAAATGTATCATCATATGGTTAAGAATGCAAATGGAGAGGAAATCAGATTAGCTAATTATTCTTGGAGCAAAACTTAGCATCCCTTCATTTCTTAATTGATTCAAATTCTAAGAGCATTTAACATCATTATCATCTTGATTGTTACCACCATCGTTATCATGTCTCATCTTAAGAGCGTCTTTTCATCAACTGATAGATAAAAGGGTTGATGAACAGTTAAAGGTTTCATGGTTATCCGTTTTGTGTGTTATTTATGTGTGAATAGCCTAAAGCAATTACTCAAACCTAAATGTTAATTAACCAGAGGAGAGAAGATAACCCAATTTACATCAGAATCTTGTTGATAGAGAGTGGCAAAAAAGGGTTTACTGCAGCAAAAATTGGCTCACAACAGCAAAGAAAAAGATTTCGAGAAAATGGCGAATAGTTGAAATGAGACGATCAAGAGAAGGGAAAACAGGGGAACAACAATCAAAATCTATTGGACTCTAAATAATCTTATATCTAATTCTCAACCCTTTTCTCTCAATTGTTTAGTTAATCCCAGTAGCAATTTAACCAGCTAACCCCCGATCATGGCTTTATATATTGTTCAGATGATTTCATCTTCACTTCTGTTTCTTGATTAATCATCTTGTAACCTTAACCTTTTACACATAAACTGGTAAACATTTCTCGTCTGATAAATTGGGTTTAAAACCAAAAGACATTTTTATCGGCATTTTATTAAAGTTGCCATAGCTGCTAATTGAAATAATAGATAAGACTAGAAATGGAATTTCAATAACATCTTCTGTTTCAACCCTTTCTATTTTCAACCAACAGTTCAAGAGTAAGCCTTAAATAATCCTATTTTTCTGGTCACTTTTGAACTCTAAATCATTCGTCTTTGTCTCTCCCTTTGCTTAACGTTTTTCCCTCCATTTTTACTTTATAAATTGTGAAAGAAACTTCTTAAGTCATTCTGATTTTTGTTGTCCTTACTAACAGTCAACTCCTCAACCTGTTGGTTGTTTATCTCATTTTGTTGTTTTATTTGTTTCATTTTAATCACCGTTTTTTCTCTTTCTTGTTCCAGGACCTGTAAATGGATTATGGATTGATACATTTGTGAAACCTTGTCTTCGGAATATTTGAATTGTAAATCAGATTGTGCAACTTGGATAAGTTTTTATTCATCTAAACTGGGCTGTAAATATATACATTTAACAACAAAAGAAAACGGAAAGGTTAAGCCGCTTCTTGAATTGTATTTGGTTAAAACAAAGTTGAACAAGATTATGGAGAAACCGGTAACTGTTTACTTGATTGCACTTAAATTTGATAAATTGAGATGTAAGTTTCAGATTTTTTTATACATTTTATTTGCCCCCTCATTTCAACATTATCATGTTCACCTAACACTATTCCTACAGGTTACTGTGATAATCCGTATTATCATCTTTATATGTTGCAGACAATTCAATTTTTCAATCTCTATTCTAACTTTATCATCTTCATCATAGCTTAACAATAACATTATTCCAACATCTTTTGTAGTACATTCCTTCCCTTTATCCTCTCTACCTTTACACATTTTTACTTATTATATTATATTAATCGATTGATAAATGTTGACTTCTTTTCATTATTCATTTTTGATTAATTTCTTTTCTTTCTCTTTTTAACACTTATTTTTTTTCTACCTTCTTCATTCAGAGCTGCCATGGAGTTTGTGTACATTTTAAATTTAATTATTTTACTACTTGGAACCTTAATTGTATCATCATTTGAACCTGTTACTGCAATAGCATTAGCCAATGGTGCAGGTGAAACGCCGACATCTGATAGATTATCAGATAGGAAGCGAAGCCGCAATAATGCTGCACTTGCAGCTATTAGTGATCAACCCATAAGTAAAGAAGAAAGTGGTACACCAGGTCGAACAAGAGGTAAAAAAGAATGTTCTGTAAATCGTGAAACTCATATTTATCTACACCACCAATTCCCATGACAGGCAAATTAATTTACACAAGAATCATTTAACTTTTCTCTTTCTCTCTGATTCTCTCTCCTGTATCACAACAGTTACATGGGTTGGTGATTGCCTGTTCGTTTGCTTGCTTACAATCATCAACAACACATGCAATATTTTTTTTATATATCTAGTTAAATTAGGTGTGAGAGATGAAAGTGATATAAAGAAAGAAGAATGAGAGATTCAGTGAGATGCTCAATCATGTCAACAACAATCTTGATATTGATAAATCCATTTCTTGAGTCTGTCTATCTTTTTTTTCTCCTCTTTTTTCTTTTCTTTTCCATTTCTTTGGTCATTTACTCTAGCCAATATTTCACCGATATTGAATGTGAACTTCCTCTGAGAGAGAGTGAGGGAAAAAAGTGAGAGTTGCGAGAACGATTTCAGAGAGAAGGGAGAGTCCAATTTATAGACAACCTTGTCAGAATTTATCTTAACGAATCACTCTACTTTTGGAAACATTTTCACCTTTCTCTTGCCTTACATATATTTCTTACAATTTTATTTATCCTCTCATATCTTTTGCCAGTTTTTGCTTGTAAATGTAATATGTCTAATATGTAAGAGCGTTATGTCTCTCGAGAGCCTGCCGAGAACTGTCAAGACCTGTCATCACCAATTTTCTATTAATGATTATCAACTTTTCCTTTTCTCTCTCTCTCTCTTTCTCCACTTTTACATTCCATGAAAAACTGATTCTAATTTGATTCTGTTTGTCATTCTAAAACGATCATGTATTTTTATTGATATTATTTTCCTTTTTGCATTTTGCTATTTCATTTTTATCCTTTTTTCTATTAACTTTTGTTTTTTCTTTTACCTTTCAGGTGAAGCCAAAATCAAGCAAAAATTTGCCATTGAACCAATGGATAAATCGGCAATCATTGGTGACACGGTGTTGCTTCCATGTAGAGTTTTACATAAAGTCGGTCCTCTCCAATGGACGCGAGATGGTTTCGGTTTAGGTCCAGATAGGAAATTAGAAGGATTCGCTCGCTATGAGATGATTGGTAGTGATGAAGAGGGCGATTTTTCATTACAAATTAAAAGTGTCTCCTTGGAGGATGACGCTACTTATCAGTGCCAAGTAGGAGCAGCGGATGGAGTTGGTGGTATTCGCTCCCGAGATGCTGCTCTAATTGTCTTTGTTCCTCCCGAGCCTCCCAAAATTGTTCAAGGAGATTTCCTTCGGACAACTGCAGGAGTTACTGTAGAGTTAACCTGTGAATCTCATGGTGGTAAACCTGCAGCCGAGGTAAGATTATCACACACACAAAGACAGACACATGCTATAAATTTATCCCATCATCTTCTCATTATTATGCTAATTTCACCAACAGTGTTCTTGTTGCATCGCTCTTCAATTTACCTATTGTTTCTTTCCTGGCCTTTTATTCCCTTTTATTCTCTCTCTCTTCAAATTTGAAGCAACATTCTTTTACTCATCATCAACACATTATAATACTTCAACATCATTATCATCATCATTATAAGTCATTGATTCTGTCCTTTTCCCTCTTTTGAGTTTTGTCTTTCTTTTCTTTATTTACTCTTTCACTCTTTTTTCTCAATCTTTCTCTCTCCCCGTCGATGATTGTTTGAGAGAGAGCCTTCGATCATGCCTTGAGGCTCTTCAGGGTATCGTAAAAAATTGAAATAAAACTGAAATAAGAGAAAAATGAGCAAAGATTAAACTTGTATCGTTGCTCCTGTATCTTTGCTATTACCTCTATTCCTTGTCCTTTGCTTTTTTCCTTCTCTGCTCTCCTTTCCATCATCCCCTGATCATCATCATCAGTTCTTGTCCAACTAGTTTAGTCAGTAGCTTTAGCACAAAGATACTTGTATTAAAAAAGAGAGAGTCCAACATAGGATGGGTAAACAGAGAATTGAAATTTTTTGAACAAACTATTCAAATGCAATAGATATAATTATACCATCGATTTTATTCAAGTCCATTATTACTATCTCGTGCTCTCCACTTTCTATTATATCCTTCATTATCATGTATCTTCATTTTTTGTCCAACCATTGGTGGTTATTCAATTGATGATAATTTGCTTCGCAAAAGCCACAAACCAAGAAAACAATCAGCAAACTTTTCTCTCTCCGCTATTTACAACTTATCTACCCAAACTTTCTTGACCTTTTTGCAAGCTGAAGGTTACAAAACTTAAATCTTAACGATCTTATCCTTCAAAGCAACCAAACGACCAGGGACAATTACATGCTACTTTAACATATCGTTTGACAAAATATCAGTAGCTAGAAAATGTTAAGTATAAGTGTTGCTATCTATTGATGGTAAAATAATTAATGTTTAAATAATTGTTACTTTGAAACTAGTTTCAACTCTAATTACAGATATTATTTTGCTCATTTCTGATAAATGTTTAGATTTTTCAAAATTGAGACTCTGGGGTAAAACTAATTTCAGCTCTATTTGTCTTTTCCATTTAACTCATGATAATCTCTTTCTCTCTCACACTTGAACATTTGTGTGTGTGCTTTACACATTTTATCAAATGTCTTTGCATAAATGAATATAACTAAAAAAAAGTCTTCTGTTAATATTAGTACAAGTTTATGGTAAGCAAAGTGATGAGGTTTATTTGAGCAAACCCATTTAATTAGCTTCACATGATTGGTATTTTCATGGAGTTTTCAGGCAAAACAGTTTCTTTCCATCTTATCTTCATCTCACCCACATCCATGCTCTTCCTATTTACCTCATTGTCTTCCCTGTACCTCTCATGTACTTCAGCTTTTTATAGGTTAATGCAAGTGAATCTAAATAGTTAAAAAAACGATTCTCTCTTTGGTAAACATTTCCCGTTTCAATCTTTCTCCTTTCCTTTTCCTGTTCCATTCCTTAACTTACTCAATACGGTTGATGAAATTAAGCATTACCTAGGAAAAGGTGATGGTAACATGAGGTAGAAAGGTTGAAACATGAATTTTATGATTAATTATCAAGTCACTGTATTTTATCCTCTGCATTTAGCTAGTTAAAATGTTGCTTCAAATAGGATTATAACCTCAACATTAAACTTGATATTTATTCAAAATGGCTTGTCTTTATTAATAATGTTATCACTGCAATCATTTGTCCATTAATTTAAATTGTTCATTTTGATGCCTTTTCCTTTTTCCATTCCCTTTTCATTGTTTAACGAACAAAATTAACACATTTTTCAATTTCTTTCCACTTTTCCAGCTTACATGGCTTGATGGTGATGGTAATCCAGTTACCAGTGGAATTACTCATACAAATCAATTTTTAAGTGACGGTAAACGTGCCAATTCAGCCTTAAAATGGACTTTCATCCCTGGCCGGGAACATCATGGTAAAGAATTTACCTGTCGAGCTGAAAATCCAGCTTTAAATCAACCACAAAAAGCTCATATCCGGGTTGAGGTCAAGTATAAGCCAGAGATTCAGTTGACATCGGATAAAATATCTTACATGGAAGGAGATGATGTAAGATTGTCATGTAAAGCACTAGCCAATCCACCAGATATAATATTTAAATGGTATCGCAATGGCGAAGTGGTAACAAGTGACTATTCAAATAATCTGGTTATACCCAGAGTAACCCGAGACATGAATGGTTTCCCATTTACCTGTGAAGCCTCCAACTCAGTGGGCACCTCAAAGGAAACTTATACCCTGAATATCCATTATGGACCAGTTTTCCGGAGTTCACTGGAAAATGTTTACGCTGCTGTTGAAGGTGAAAATGTGAAACTTAAATGTGAACCTTTGGGTAATCCTAAACCCGAGATTATGTGGCTTTACAATGGGTCAAGCAAAGTTCTTAGTACCAACTCTGAGCTTGTTATACCCTCTATGAGTGAAGATAAAGCAGGTCGTTATGTTTGCCGTGCATCCGTTCAAGGGTTTCCTGAAGTATCATCTTCAACCCACGTTTTTATAAAAGGTAAGTCTAAGTGGTGCTACACTTTTATTTCAATGTACATTAGTGAATGTTGAGCCGCACGAAGCAAAAAAAACTGTTCATCATTAATACATCATCTACTTCATCATCTGTATTGTATACTTTTTCCTGATGATAATGAATATCATATAATAATTTTCTTTCTCCTTCTACTCACTCTATTTTTGCAAGTAATATCAAAATCTCTACTCTTGCTCATTATAATTTGCTATTTTTAATCAACTCACCCAAACTCACCAAGTAAAGGGAAAAAATGAGCCAACAAGAAGCAACTTTAATGCAAAATGATAACTTTCCGGTTTTCATGAAAAGCCATCATTTTTTTTCTGTCGGCCTGTACATTTTCAGTCTTCCATCTTCATCTTTCTTCTTTTCTAATTCATGACTTACAGTTTCCTTTGCCTTTCTTTACCATCATATGACCTCAACATTTATACAGAATCTTGTTTTTTTTTCTCTCTCTTTACTTTTTGCATCTCAATTCTTAATATCAATAGCAACAAGCATTTCCTTGCTCAAGACTCAAAATGAAGGCTCCTTTAGATAAGGAGAAACGTTATTACTCAAGACAGCAAAAACAATCACAAATAGACAAGCAAACATTCACAACTTAATGTTGACTATCATTTGCTACTCTAGCTACTGACTTTAGGTTAACTGCAATTAGTTGATGAAAGCGTTGTTATTGTTGGTAGTTGATGTGACGGTGGTTAATGTTGACTCTGTCTTCAAAAAGACCATAAAAAGGAGAGTAAAAGAAAAGGCCTCAAACGTTAATGAACACAAACATTAGCAGAAGCTGTCCTTTCGAGCATCGTTAAAATGGTCGCTGTTTTTCCGGGTTTCCATCAACAAGTTTCAAAGCGGCCAGAAAAAACGAGTAAAAGTTTAATAATTGATTTTTTAACTTGAATTAATTTTTTTCTTCTCTCCTTTTGAACCAGACAAACAGTTGAAATGAATTTTGATTGCTTTCCTTTTCTCTATTTGTTGATTGTGTTGGTGACTTTTACTGAGATTTTATTGATAAACATGGCGATTTCAGTTGATTTTGATGTTGCCTTTTTCCCAAGCATTTCAGTTTTATCTTTCATAACTTTTCTTGGATGTTTGTTCAATTGATGCAATTTATTGCCTGGCAAGTTTGTCACTAGAAGAGCAATTGGATTGGTTTCAATCAAGTTTTACCTCTCGCCATTTACAATCATTATCTTCATGACAACGATGATGATCCACCATCAGGACCACAATTTTAACCCAAATCATTTCTGAGAAAATAGTGATTATAGTGAGAAATTTAACAAATCTATTAACCAGATTCTCCTCCAAATTCAATCTGATTACATGAGGATTCAATCTGTGAAATGATTCCATAGCCATCAAATGATTTAATATCATCAGCAAATAGTGTCTTGAAATTTAGCTTTTTACTCAAAACTTTTACTGATTGATCTTTATTACATCTTTTCTTTTCCCTTCAATTCATTATCATTCCTTTAACCATCAACCTTTTTTTAATCTTTAAAAGATGATCATTACTATTTAATATCACTTATTTTGTTGATCATTTTTACTTTTAACATGTCTGTCAGTCTTGCTTTACTCTTATAACATCTTTATCTTGAACAATTTGTTTCACCAGACAACAGATGAAAGATGAATTGTCCATTTAATTCATCATCAACCATTGAACAAAAAATTATACACAATTAGGCTTCTCTTTCAATTCCATATCATCATCAACTTTATCATCTCTGTTCCTTCAATCCTCACCCGATCATCTTCAATTTTCTCTCTCCCATCGTTCATCTTCTCTTTAATGGTTAACAATCAAAAAGTAAATTTCACTTTTCCATTCTACAATATCTTGCTAGTTTCCAGCATTCACTAAGATGGATTGATTGTCTTGTAGATCCAGTTAAACAAGATTCATGCATACAGAAGTTTAATGTATAAATGTATTAAAAAAATGTATCTTCTCTTGTTAACAACTGTAAGTCAAAAAAAGAGAAAGATGATGAAGATGTGAAGATGGCTTAAAGTTAACATGTAAAAAAATGTTTCATTTTTTGTTTCTATGTGTGATGTCTTTCACATTCATTTTTCCCCACTCAATGGAACCCTACTGATGATGATTTAGAAAACCTAATACAATTACAATGAATCTAATTCTGTTTTTTCTTTTTTCTCTTCCTTCTCTTCTCTCTTCATCCCATTCTCCGTGTATTACGACAGGTCCACCGAAGATTATGAGCCCATCAATACAATATGCTGTTGATGATGAAACTGTTAAAGTTGAATGCATTGTACACTCCGTGCCATTACAAAGTAAAGTTACCTGGATCCACAATTCACAGGTACGCCTTTTTGGTTACTTACCCATTAGTGAAACAATTTAATCTCAAGGCTTTAATGTGATGGTTACACAATCCCAGGATAAGAGAAAAGATTTTGATGGAAAATGTGAATACAATGAGAGGAAAAAGTTGAATCATTTCCATCAATTTGTACCATCAACCTTTAATCTTTTGATTAGCTTCTTTACCAGTTGATCATTATTGAAGAATTGCATTTTGTCAAACGAAAAGTGAACGTAAAAAAAAGTCAAAATCAGATGGAAACGAAAGATATTCAAACTGAAATTCACATTTTCTGCAACTTCTTCTTCTTCTTCTTCTGTTATTGTTTCATTCGCCTACTTCATGAAACTTTTGGTTTTCTTCTTTTTTCAGCTTCTATCTTCTCATTTCCTAGTGTTAATAACTTAATCTTTTTATAATAACAACATTACCTTTTTCTTGAGGAGAGACCAATATTCTTATATAATATCTATAAGGGACTGAAATGATGATGAAGAAAAAAAAGATAACTGTAATGAAAGTGCATAAAATGGCATTATCTAAGATATTGTATTGCCCTGAAGGTGTCTCAGTTTTCCCCTGGTTTATAATATTGTATTATTGTTCAATTGTTTTTCAGTTTGATTGTGATTCCTGTTGATATAAGAGAAATAAGTTTGATCTTATTTTGCTTTATTCAATCACACCTTAATTTTATGCACCTATTTTAATGAGACACTGTTAATCAACTAATGTTCAATTGTTTACATTTTCATTTACTAATTTCATTTTCTTCTTTTTTCCCAATTCTATTCTTTTCTTTCAGACTATTGATATTGATAATGATCAAGATTTTGAGGTGATCGAGGAAAACAAACCATCCGAATCAATCACTCGAAATGTATTGATAATACATAAAGTAAAAGAGGAAAACTTTGGCGATTATAACTGTTCAGTTTGGAATGAATATGGACAAGATTACATGATAATCCGTCTTGAAAAGCATAGTAAGGATCGACAATTGTTTCTTGTGTTTCCCCACTCGTCCAGTTATCGTATTTTTCAATCAAACTCAAGACACAACAAGCGTACAAATGTGTTTATATATGGATTTGCCCTCTCAATGTTGCCTATTATTTCTAACTTTTCAACTAAAACATGGTGAAATGGGAAAGTAAAATGAAGCAGACTGATGAAAATGAAAGATGATTTAGAAGCAAAAAGATCAATTTTCTTGTTTCAAGGGAAAGCAAAAGTTACCGTTTAAAGTTATCATTTTCATCTCTATTCTTATCTTGAGCTTCATTCCAGTAACCAGTTATTTAAAAATATCGATTTAACCATCAAAAAGGCAAAAAGAATAGTAAAAATGCCTTTGTCTATTCGCAATCTTTCGTTGACTTTGCAACAGTAGATATGAAACATTGGAATTAGTAAGGGAAAGAGGAAAGGAAATCTTTGTTTCATAAATTCAACACGAAAATGATTTGTTAAGAAGTGAAATATTGTTTGAAGAAAGATATCATCATCATCATCTAGTATTCATTTTTACCCTTTCAACTTGTGCATCTTTACAGTTTTGCTAACTGAATGTGAAAAGTTAACTTTTTTTGTATGATGAGGTGAAAAAGAGGGTTGAAGATGATGAAAATGAAATGAAAGTTATAATGTGAAAAATTGTGAATTTGTTGAAGATTCGTTTTTTTCTTGCTTAAAAGTTGATTATTGCAGTGGAGTTATAGTTAAGTGTAAATCAAAAATTTGTAGACCGTAAGAGAAACTAAATCAGCTTTTAATCTCAGCCAGAATGGGTTTTAAACTCGATTCAGATTGTTTTATAAAATTGACTTAAATTGTTGAAGAGGCAGAAAAAAGTATCTTTTGCTTCTCATTTTCTCGCCTTTTCTCATTTTCAAGATAATTTGAAATGGTTTCATCTTTTTCTTTGCTTCCTTCTCATCTTGTCAATTTTAGTTATTCTTGATCGTTTTTACATGAAAAATGATGAATTTTGAATCATTTTTTTCATCTCTTCTTATACCTAAATCCATTTGCATGCGAGAAGGAAAAAAACAACAACTGAAAATACGATAGAAAGAAAGATAATAGAAGTGAATCAAATCTTGACTTTAACTTGATATTAACATGATTATTGACATGAAACATCAACAATAACCATCAAGCTTGATTATTTACGCTTTTAATCTTGTTATTTCAATTTTTTCTATTTACTATTGATGGTTTACAGTATAAATTTAGTGATAGCAAGAAGCAAAGTAGGAAGCTAAATCAAATAACAGACAGCAGCGAAAAAACAAAGCACAATTTAATGTCAACCTTATCAAATTATTTTTATATAATACTCATTTTTCTGGGTGAAAAAGGGTCAAGATGAGAAGCGAGATTGATAAAAATGATGAAAAACAATCATTGAATGGTTATTGTATTAAGTGTGAAAAGGCTGAAAAGGTTATAAAAGTTGAAATGTTAGGTGAAAGGAATCAATGTGAATCAAGGTTGATGTGAATCTGAATGAGTTGCTAATGTAAATGATGACGATAAAAGATGCATTTTGCCATCTTCTCAACAACATCTATTGATGATAAATTATTGATGATGATTATGTTGAGAAGGTGCAAAAAAAGGCTGCAAAAGAAGTCAAAGAGTTTAATAGAAAATGGAAAATATTCTATTCTTGTATTGAACTCTTTATTAACAAAAGTGGTTCCCATTTTTACTGATATATTCATAAGGATTAAAAGAGCTTCTAATAAAATAAATAGGCACACACCCTGTTAAGATTTTGATGATGATTATGATATTCAATTCTCATTTTCACCTTTACTTCTTGATCTCTTTTACTCACCTTATTTGATCAATTGACTGTTACCTGAAACAATTCACAAGCCACCCTCATGATCTATTATCATGCTATATATCATCATGTTCATCAACATCATCAACATTAATATTATCTCTTAGACTAAAAAAAACAGGGAATAGAAAGATTTACTCCTTTTCCACTCTTGATTCCTCTCTATTAACATCTTGCTTTTTTTCAGAAGTAACTCAGTAAATGTATATATGTATATATTTATCTTGAAATGTATCAACCACGGAAATCAAACTCATCATCATTAGCATTCTCATATTCCTTCTCTCCTTGATTGCTATCATTTTAACACCAAATCAGAGTTTATCATATTCACTTAACCTAACATTTTAACCTTACCAAAATAGTTAACATTTCATCAACACATCAACATTACTGTTATTCATTTATTAATATCAGACACACAAGAAGAGAGATTGTTTGTTTGTGTGTGTTTCTTGGTTACTCAAAATACTAATTTTATCCTTTTCCCTAATGATGATTCGCTTGATTCTCACAGAATCATGAAATCATTTTATCCAACTAAATTGCAATTTTGCTCAACACATATATATATATTTATGTTTCGTTATATATATTGTTGAAAGATCTACTTTCTTTATCCTATTTATTTATATTGTGTATATCACACTATTACATGCTCTTTTGGGTTAAAAGAATTGGATAAAAGTAAAGTGGCAATAATGTAAGCCTTTGCCATGTTGATGATTATTATGATAATCATTATAATGATGATGATGGTGATGGTGTGTCGGTCAATTTTGGACTCTTTTTTTTCTCTATTCCTTTTTCCTTCTTTTGCCTGAGTCGGTTTACCTTGAAACCATCTTCAACTTGAATCGTTTCTTTTGTTTCTTTCCCTTCATCACCTCAATTTCATCATTAGGTTTTTGTCTACTTACTTTATTTCACTTGCAATTTTCCCTTGTTATCATCATTATCATCATCATGAACATGTTATCACTTTTATGAAACCAATATCTAATTCAATTGGCTCAACTGTTTCCTTGTTGTTTTTCTGTGTGTTTCTCTTCATCTTGTTCCTTGATCTTCACATCTTTTCCTGTTCCTCTCATCTTCATCTTGTCTTTCCTTCTCATTCTAATTCTCTCTTATTTTTTCTCTCTTTCTTTTCTTTCCATCACAGAGAGTTTTCCCATGTTAATCATAGTGGCTACAATTATTGGTAGTATTGTTGCTGTTGTTTCCGTTACAATAATTGTAATACTTTGCATGAAACGGAAATCAAACTTGGATGGTGATGACTACCTGAGTGATGTTAAGAAAGAGTCCAATACTAGTAAAATAGGATCCAGTTTAACCAATTCAAGTAAAACCTTGACCAATGGGTCAACCAGTTTAACCAGTAACGGTACTTTAACCAAACATCATCAACAGCAACAAGGTTTAACTCATCTTGGCCTGTCACCCTCTCAACAACAGCAACATCTTCACAACCTTCATCTTCACCAGTTGACACAACAATCACAACATGCACTTCATCATCATGTTGTCGATACCGGATCATCGGGTGCTGATTCAGATTTAAAGGTTGAAATTCGAACAGCCTCATCATTATCAGAGAGAGGTCATTGGGATGACCTTAATGAACCTCCATCAGTTGATCCAACAATCACAGCCAATCAGATACAACAAGTTGTCGACAATATTTACAATTATACTGCTCAACCTCTTTACTCACCTAGCAAGGTACATTCACACATTTTCAGACTCTTTTTTTTATTCATCGTTTCATCTTCTTGTTTCCTCTCCTTTCACCGGCGTGTTAGTAATAACTTAATGTGTAAATGCAATGTTGACCCTTGCGGCACTTTTTTTCAGTCTTTACTCAGGTCAGGGTAAAAGAGTGTCAGAAAATGAGAGAAAGAAAAATAGGATGAAAGATGATGATCGTCTTGATTACCGGTCATTTTGATCCAATTGATCGATTCAGTCTCACACTTGTGCGACGTTAAATATCAAACTTATTATTACCTTTTTCCTCTTTTCATTATTATCTTTTTTGATACTATTTGTCTTTCGTCTTCTTCTTTGCTTCTCTATCTTCCCTTTAGCACAGAATTATCATTATATTTAATCTGTCCACCCATCATTTGTTTTATAAGGTTACCCTTGATTGCCTTAAAGGATCTAATGAGCCCGACCCTTCCCAGCCCTTCCCAACCCAATTGGTACACCTTCAATGTAGAGACTTGATCTTCACTTATCAACCTTTTCCCTTCATCCATTGTCTTGTATTTAGTCCCTCTTCTCGGACAAGTTGACACTAACGATACAAATTACCCAAATTTATGCTCCTCCGAGGCTCCTCTTTTTTACATTATTATTTTTTATCAAGTAGCATCGTGATAAATGCCTTTTATATCATCCTCAAATTGTCTTGTTTAGTTTTTTCCTTGTTGCCTATTATTCTGATGTTAAATTTTTAATAATAATAATGAAATGAACAATAATTGACATCATGATTAGGGATTGGTAGCAAAAGACAAATGAGATTAATGAATTCAAATCTTATAGATTAGCTTCTTGAACCTTTTTTACTGCCCAATTATCTCAATAATTTGCTGTCCTTTATTTCCCAGCTCAATTGCGCCTTATAATCAAAAATTGTAATCACTTTGAAGCCAACAATTAAAATTCAATTGTATCTCTAATTCATTTTTCCATCTATTTTCACTTTCGCAGGACTCATCAAATAATAACGGGTATATCCCATCATATGTTGATTACAACCGTGAATATCTTCCACCTCCGCCATTAACCCAAGAAGAGTCTCAACAGCAAGAGGCTCAACATCATCATTTACTTCATCAACAGCAGCAACAACAACAGCCAAGCCCAGGAAGCTTAATGTCAGTTTCCCAACAACAGCAACCTCAATATCAAAATCATCATCAAATTCAGCAACAGCAACAATTGGCTGCCGCTGCTGCCGCTGTAGCTGCTCAAGGACAATTGTATAGCTCAGGAGCCTTATTGAATAACCGTGACTCTTACATTGATCCTAATTATGGTTCCCTTACATTAGATTCACGTTATCGTTCCTCATCCTACCTAACCTCACCAAACTCATATCTACGAACCACATCAAACACTCCAGGTTCAAACAATTTAGCAACTTTAACCCCCAAAAGTAGCCAGCCATCTCCTAGTGCCCTTAGCTCCATATATGGTACAAGCCAGCGTTATATAACTAGCCCATCGTCCAATCAGGTTAAACAAGGTACACTTGCTACTCACGTTTAACCCAAAGATTAACTAAACATAAGCAAACTTTAATTTAACAAAGAAATGAAAAGCAGCTTTGCGATAAAAAGATATCATTCTCATCCATATCATGCCAATCTTGCTGTTTCTACTGATGCTTCCCTCTCAATAAAGCATGAAGAAGAAGCTTCACTCAAGTTGTTCATCATCACACATTAAAAATCCTCACATCATTTCAATTATCATCATTGTTATTGTCATTTTCATCAACAACAAAACTTCTGCTCATATTGTTCATCACTCGCCTGTTATCAAGTGATACATCTTTATCCCTCTCCAACTCCCACAATTTAATCTGGCTCGTCTCAAAACAAAAAGTGTTATTTAAATGGAAAAAAGCGCAAAACAATTGATAAATGAAAGCTACAAATGAATCCAATCTATTAAATATTATCGATAGAGAGAAAAGAGAAAAATTTTTAAATATAAATATAACTGACAAGTGCTTATGGAGACTTTTTCTCACACTCTTCATCACTTTTTACATCTTTCTACTTATCTGTTATTTCCTCGCCTCTTTATCCTTTCAATCCCAATTTTTTGTCATAAAAATGATCACTTTCACCCTTTCAGATTTTCATCTCTGTTTCTCTTCGTTAACTTGTTTCCCTCTCTCTCCTGTGTTAAACCATCAATATTATCATCACTATCATTAGATGGACCTTTCGTGAGATTGAAAAGGTTTCCAAAAGCAACTGAACCTTTTCAATTTCACCCAATAAAAGTTAACTATCTTTTAATTTTTCCCTGTAAATATTTCTCGTGATTAAGTTGATTCCTTGAGTTTCAATTATCTTCATCCTTCAACCTTTTCATGTCCTCTTCAAAATTCATCTTCTGTTTTACCGGTCAATCCAAGGCCATTTGTAAATCTTTTTTTTCTCTCAAAATAAAGAGAAATTTGTTCTTTTAAAATTGCTCTTATTTTTTTCTTCTTTTCTCATTACACCAATCATGTTTAACAATCATCTTAATTTAGCGTTCATTTTATTCGCATCGATGAATGATGAAGACAATTATCAGTGGATTGGAAGGGAAACTTGATAATGACCAAATCCTATCGGACTTTTCCTCCGGCAAAATCAATATCCTCATGTTTACTCTCATATTATCAAACCCGCATTCATTAATCTGATTCACTTTGGCTCAATTCAGTCCATTCCAATCAATGAGAAGACGAGAATTTAGTGGAAAAAAGAAAAATTGAACCAATAATTATCTACAATTGGGTGAATTGTTAGGGTTCAATCAAATAAGAAAAAAGGTGTTCAATTGAAACCATTCGAGTCATCAATAGTTGAAAGGAACCCAAATGATAGTTTAATTATTCATCAAGGAAATGGATACAATCATTTACAGGGTTAATCACTATTTGATTACATTAAATGACTGAGAATAGAAAAGGAAAAAAAACAAGAAATTTAATTAAGACTCTTAATTGTTGCCACTCTTGGTTTGTGTCCAGTTTTTAAAAAATCAACTTTAAAATGATTCTTTTTTCTTCCACCTTTTATTAGTTTGTACATGATTGGTAAACAATTAACAAGTCAACAACATTGAGTACATTCAAGGGTCCAATTTAAATTACATTCAAGTATCTTAATCGACTCACGTTGTTGATTAAAATGATGGGCTAAAAGGGAAATAATGTCGATCAAATTGTTAAATGCCTTTTTCGTTTACCTTTTCTTCATTATCCATTTCCATTAAACATTTTGTACCGCTTTCAACTTTACATCATTCAATTTCAAGGTAAATTAAACAATTTTTCATTCAACGTGCAATAAAGCAAAATTATGTAAGCAAAGTGAATGATTGATTAAACAACAGTTTCAATTGGAAGCAGCAAATTGTAACAATAAAATGTACTTTAAAACAGCTTTTCTTGTAGCCAAACTTATGAAATGTCCGAATCCAACAGACGAAACTAAAAAATTTTTCAATGAACTCGGCTTTTTCATATACTGTGCGCCTGTTTTCAGTCATAACTCACAAACGGTTAATACTACAGATTTGAACCGTGAGCTTCCACAAGTTTAAGAGTCACGAGTTCGAACTTTCAAAGCCATCCAAGGTTGATCGCTTGTTTAACCTCTAACTAACATTTGAAGACCACTTTCAGGGAACGCATGCATATATATTACATTTATTATATTATTTCACACTGGTAAACACTGGAATGATAAACGAAGTTTTCTCGAAATAATTGATGACTGATCTTGTGAGTAAAAAACTAAAGTCATTGAAGGTTGCATCAGTTAGCTCGGGAGAACGATCAAGAGTTCGTTGATAACGGTTTAAGTCAACGAGTCCCGAGGCTCTTATTTATGTGAAAAGAATGATCCGAATACCATGATAATAAAGACGGAAGAAAAAGAAGAGAGAAGAGCACTAAAGAGTTAGATATTGAACAAATCAGGAAAAAGATTTTTGAAATTCTATCATTTCTTCTCGATTTCGACAAAGTTCCAGGGAAATTCAATCTGATTTTTAACCAAATTATTGGGTGGGCTAAAAGGCTTTTGCGTTTACGAGTTTTGAAAACTTTATTTGAACTAATTGAGAATCTCTTCAACCTTGAAATTATCCATTTCTAGTTGGTTCAACATTTCATTTTAAATTGATTTTAATTGATGAATTGAAGTGTTTTTGTGGTCAACAATGAATTGTGCTTTTAATCATTTTGTTTCCTTTGATTGTTCCATCGATAATTACAGGATTAACTTGATCTGCTAAAGATAATCAAATATGAGTATTATTATGAAAATAATGAAAATAATAGGATTTAATTGAGTTTCATTTTTTGTTTTTAAACGATAATCTTAATCCAAGCATATGCAAGGTTTCATTATTTTTTGTTTTTACATTTTCATTGTGAATGTTTCACTATTTCTAAATGAGTAAATTCATGTGATTAATTGATTAATCAATAGCAAGATACCTTTAAAGTTGAAATGTTTCCAACGTTCGTTTAGATTTACATGGGAAAAAGAAGGTAAAAATGAAAGGAAATGAGAATATTTTTCTTTCTTTCTTCCCCTTTCATCATTACTGTATCTGGAGTTTGGTTTGGTTGTGATGATGAAAAGGATGGAAATGATGAACATGATGATTCTTTTCATAGTGACAGTTAACCTTACACCATTTAACCATCATGACAATCCTCTTCACTTGTTTTTGCAAGAGATTATCTGAATGTCTGAATGGATGAAGAAAAGAAGAAGAAAAGGAAGACGAAGAAAAAGAAAACACTTTAATATCATAAATATCAAGTGCAATTCACAATGTGAATTATGATCTTGTTGTCACGTAAAAATGCAAACATCGACAATGAAATATTAAGTGATGTTGACGATATCTGAGCCACTTTTACTCTTGATTCATCGTCTTCACTCTTCTCATCATTTCCATGGTCTTTTCCCTTTTCACTCTTCATCATTTTCATCTTACTACTTCCACCTCATCCAAGTGATCAATTGCAGTAAAATGTCACTTGAACAAGCAACAACAACGACAACAACAGGCAAAACAAATGTCTTATTTTTTCTCCTCGTAAAGTAGCAACAGTGAAACATATGAACAAGAATCATCTTTAAAAGCATTACAAAACTTGCATGAGTGGCGATTCAGCAAGCGTCTTCAACTCATCTAATCCCATGCAAAAAGAGTGAACAAAACAAAAAGCATTTCCAAATATATCAATTGAAACAAATTGAAGCTGTAAAAGGCCTTATTGCATCAAAAAATTGTTGCTCTCGATCTTTTCATATATCTTTAAACATTTCAATTGCTCTCGAATGAAATTTTAGATATTACTTTAGATTTTGCAATTTCTCGATCAGAACTTTTAGATTTGCTGTAAATTAAAAATCAATTACGAAATTATTTGTTGTATGTGAAGAGTTGACAGAGAACTGACAATCTTGTGAGTTCCTTTACATTATCAAAGTTGGATAAGTTTGAAAAAGTTTTTCGAATCTTGTGATTGCTCTTTTCATGGGTAATTCAAATGTTGAATTGTAATAATTAATGGAAAATTAAATCAGAGTTGATTGTAATGTTGCTCAAAAAAGGCTAAGTTATTGACTTTTTGTCTTGAAGCGAGAAGAAATTTATCTTTTTGCTTATTTTCATTGGGTGTGATTGGGACAATCTTGGGATACATTTTTTGCCGTTATTGTCGTATTAAGAGACGGCTAAGGAAGGCCATAATTAGAGTCAAACTGACTTGACCGTCATTAAGAGACTCATCATTTTCAACTTATTTTTCTTCTTCTTTTTTCATGTAAATATTCATTAGTTGATTCTGTTTGCGTGTTGGAAGTCAAGTTGGTAATAAAGTTGGATTTCAATTTAATAGTGAGAATGAGAATCAAATTTAATCACCTTAATTTGCTGGAATCAGTTTGCTGCTCAAACAGGTCAATAAGGTGACCATTTGAAAGTGTAAACAGCCGTTCGAAGTTTTTTATTGCAAATCAATGATGAATTAAGGTGAGGTCAGTTGCGGTTGAATCCAACAACTGGTCAAACGCTGTTGATGTGTAATGAGCTTTTCTTTGACATGTTGGACCAACAGTGAAAAGTAGTTGACCTGAGATTAAAGAAACTTTTTTTTCTCCTACTTTCTATTTACTATTATTATCAATGATTTCATGATGATCTGACAATCATTTTCATGGTAATGTCAGATAATGGTGAGATAATAATGTGGGTTGATTAGCGTTCATTTTGTTTTCATTCTTTGCACGTCGAGTTTCAAGTTTAATCTTTGATTTTGAGAAAACTTTTTGGTGGAAAAAAAGTTTGCAAAAATGAATAATTAATTGGAATCAATCTCGGTTTCAATCGATATAATTGAGGCAATTGTTTTCGCTTTGAATTTCATTTTGTTTTGACTTGCACAATAAAAGGTGTGAAAAGGTTTTAATTGCGCTTACATTTCAACTCGTTTCTTGCTCTTCATTGATTTTTACACATTTTAATTCATTCCATTTCAATCAATCAACTTTTATTTTTGTTTTTTAAATGAATTTGTTTTCAATTTTGTTTGATCGAAATCAAAGAGCCAAATGTTTCCACTAATTGGACAAAGTTGAGAGTTAATTAAATGTTTAATTCATTGGGTTGATTAGTTTGATTGGTGAATTTGAATCAACGTTGGGAAAGAGAAACGATTAGACTTGGTAATTTAATTAAAGTAATTATAAGAAAAATTGAGATAAAATTTGAACTCCGTTTGATGAGTTTAAATTTTAAATTTTAAATCATTCAGACTGTTGGATTGGGGTAAGAATAATGGTGAAACAATTGTGATTAAAGTTGCAAGTTTCAAGTTTATCAAGTGAACAAAACTTTTGCTTTACTCAAAATTTCAATTTCAAATGTTTTTTGCTGCTTCATGAAAATTCAAACAGGATAAAAGTTATCAAGTATTTTTTTATTTATTTGAGATATTTTATCAAATTTAATGGTAGAGGATAAAAAAATGATGATGATGATGATGACAAATATCAAGATAGAGATGAAGATGGAGATGAAAATATGGCAATGAGTAGAATAAGTATGAAGACAATGGTGAAAATGAAGCAAAAAAAGGTCTTGCTAACGAAAGTAAGTGTTTCCTTTGATGGGGAAAGATTCACTCTTTTAGGTTGAGATTTTGTCTTCTTTCGGTCTTACATGATTCACCGCGAAGATGAAAATGACGATAATGAAGGTAATAAATGTATCTATTGTTAAATCGAAGATGAAGAAGATGATGAAAATTATGCTGAAAAGATGATGAAGAGGATAGCGATGATAAGAAAAGGAGAAATAAATAAATTTTACGTAAAATTGCTTGATAGCGGTTCATACTTGATGCGTGAGAATCACTTTGCTTAGGTTGAGATTTTCATCTCTTTAGGCCTAAT